TGCTAAAAGGGGACCCAAGAATAAGGGATGTGCTTCAATGAAGTTATATCAAGTTGGCGCACCAATGGAAAGAGTAGCTCTTGACATTGCTGGTCCTTTGCCCGAAACTCGTGCTGGAAACAAGTACATTTGTGTGGTGATGGATTATTTCATCAAGTGGCCTGAGGAAAATCAGGAAGCTACAACTGTAGCTTCGGTTATTAATGATTTCTTCCTCATATTTGGTATGCCATACGAACTGCATTCAGATCAAGGCCGTAACTTCGAATCGGCTGTGTTCCAAGAATGCTGCAAGTTGTTTGGCATATGAAAGACCAAGACTACACCACTTCACCCACAGTCTGATGGGATGGTAGAAAAGTAAAATGCGACATTGGGACAGGAATACGCAAAGTTTTGTAATAGCCACCAAGATGACTGGGATGTCTTACTCTCTCCACTGTTGATGGACTATAGAACAGCAGAGCATGAAACCACTGGATACACTCCAGCAAAGCTGATGTTTGGTCGGGAACTTCGGTTAGTAGTGGATCTGATAACAGAACGCCTACCTTATGAAGAGTTGCCTAAAAATGTGTCAGAGTTTGTGACAGTGTTATCCGAAAGGATGGATGGTATTCACCATCAAGTGCGTTCAAATTTGAAATCGTCTTTCAGTGGATCGTCTCTCAGACGTGACTTTCCAGATAGAATGTGGTCGTCGAGGTAAGCCAAAGGTGGTGCATGCCAACAGACTTTGGCGTTATCATGGTCCAGGACATTTCAGTTGGAATGAAGTGAACAATGGAACAAATGATGCTGCTGAAGACGTGTCACCTGAAAAAGCCACTGTCGAAGAAGAAACTCTACCTGGTTTTGAGAAGGGAAACAGTGAAGCCCTTGATGAAGTTACTACCACTGATGTGACTGTTACCGATAATAGGACAATTCCCTATGGATTAGATGAACCTCACGGGAAGCAGAAGCCAGTACGGAAGAAGATACGTCCCGTAAAATTAAGAGATTTTGTTGAATTTTAATTTTGTGTTTGTAAATTCTGTACATTTAATTAAGTTATTGTTAATTATCTATTGGTTAAATGTAAGTGGCTGTTGTTCGGGACGAACAATACTAGGGAAGGGGCAGTGTTATGACAGCGGTAGTCACGTGACCCTGGTACACGTCATAATATTCTCGAAGGTTCGGCGAACATCGCAAATAATCCAGTATGTGTTAGGCGCCCTCTATTCCTGTATATAAGTGCGCCGGATAACGTGAGAAAAATTAATCGGAATTGATAATGGTTGGAGACGGCTTGAATGGGTAATGAAGAAAAACTTTAATATAACAGCAAATGTACAACGTTTCGACAAGGTTTTGTCATCTGT